TTGGCTTGCTTAGGGTCGTAGGTTTCTGGGGCGTGGTTGATGATCAACCGTAAGACAGTTTTGAGAGTTTCGACCGAACAAATCGTCAACGAAACGACTCCGGAAGGTTTCTCTTTTTTTTTTTTTTTCGATTATTAACTTGCTTTTTTTTTCGCAAGTTTAGATTCTTTCATTGGTGGTTTCATTTTTTCACAGTTTAGGGGCATTTTTGCATTGTTTTGTCGCCAGATTCGAGATTTTTTTTTTCAATTGTGTTTTTTTTTTATGTTATGGTTTTTTATATTTTATTACCATTTTTTTTTTCAGTCTTTGGAGTTGTCGCTAGCACCATAGTTGGAGTCGTCGTCGGGATTTGGGCTGGGCTGTTGGTGTTGCTCTTTGGGCGAGTGTGTTTTTGCACTTTAGATCTGCCTTTCGTTGTTAATTCCATGGGTTTCGCGTTGTCTTGATGATGCCGTAGGTGGTGCAGCTTTCTTTAGCCCTATTGATGTCATCGTAGGTTGGTTTGTTGTTTTTGCTTTGTTCTTTAGTGATGTTCTTGTCCTGTTTTTTCATTATTTCCATTCCGTTTTCTTTCTTGTTTTTGTCCACTATTCTCGTCTCAGTTTCTTGTTGTCTTTTCTGTTTTCTTAGTTCTAAAAAAAAAACTAATAAATTAGATAAATTACAGCTGTTTTTATAAATTCTGGAACATTTGGCAAAAATTGTCTGACCAAATATTTGCCAATTCGATAAGTTCGTGATTTCAGTACTGATTCAGAACTTATCGAATTGGCAAATATTTGGTTGGTCAATTTTTTGCCAGATATCCCAGAATTTATAAAAATAGCTATAATAAAAAAAAAATTGATTAAATTAAATAAATTAAATAAAAACCAATAAGTTAATAATAAAAAAAAACTGCTTGTCTTGTGTTTTCTTCTAAAAATAAAAAAAAAAAGATTAAATTAAATAAATTAGTTAAGTTAAATAAAAAAGAACCGATAAATTAAAAAAACCAGTAAATTAAATAAATTAGTTAAGTTAAATAAAAAAGAACCGATAAATTAAAAAAACCAGTAAATTAAAAATAAATAAATAAGTTAATAAAGAAAATAAATTAGAGCTTGAAAACGGTTTATTTTTATATGTTAAACCCGGTTTCTACAGTATAATTTTTTAAGTGTATATAATTCACCAATCGAATTTAATCACGTTATCACATACTCGTGTCGAGCATGTGATGCACGTGATCAAATTTGATTGGCCGATCATGGGTCGCCATAGTGATGGGTCGCTATAAAATAACGCCC